GTGTCCGCAGTCTCTGGTCATCTCCTGTACTGTGTCCGCAGTCTCTGGTCATCTCCTGTACTGTCCGCAGTCTCTGGTCATCTCCTGTACTTTCCGCAGTCTCTGCTCATCCCTGTACTGTCCGCAGTCTCTGGTCATCCCTGTACTGTGTCCGCAGTCTCTGGTCATCTCCTGTACTGTGTCCGCAGTCTCTGGTCATCCCTGTACTGTCCGCAGTCTCTGGTCATCCCTGTACTGTGTCCGCAGTCTCTGGTCATCCCTGTACTGTCCGCAGTCTCTGGTCATCTCCTGTACTGTCCGCAGTCTCTGGTCATCTCCTGTACTGTGTCCGCAGTCTCTGGTCATCTCCTGTACTGTGTCCGCAGTCTCTGGTCATCTCCTGTACTGTCCGCAGTCTTTGGTCATCCCTGTACTGTGTCCGCAGTCTCTGATCATCCCTGTACTGTGTCCGCAGTCTCTGGTCATCTCCTGTACTGTGTCCGCAGTCTCTGGTCATCCCTGTACTGTGTCTGCAGTCTCTGGTCATCCCTGTACTGTGTCTGCAGTCTCTGGTCATCTCCTGTACTGTCCGCAGTCTCTGGTCATCTCCTGTACTGTGTCCACAGTCTCTGGTCATCCCTGTACTGTGTCTGCAGTCTCTGGTCATCCCTGTACTGTGTCCGCAGTCTCTGGTCATCTCCTGTACTGTGTCCGCAGTCTCTGGTCATCCCTGTACTGTGTCCGCAGTCTCTGGTCATCCCTGTACTGTGTCCGCAGTCTCTGGTCATCCCTGTACTGTCCGCAGTTTCTGGTCATCCCTGTACTGTGTCCGCAGTCTCTGGTCATCCCTGTACTGTGTCCGCAGTCTCTGGTCATCCCTGTACTGTGTCCGCAGTCTCTGGTCATCCCTGTACTGTTAATTAGTTTGCACTACTGTACGAGTTGTTTTTTCTAAACCAAAAGCTCGATATTCAGGTTTCATTGCAGTGTTGGCACTTTGAAAGAAATAAGTTGGTTTTGGGTTGCAGTTTGGGCACTCGGGCTCAAAAAGGTTCGCCATCACTGTTTTAGACCCTGCTCGTCTCAATAAAGAGAACCTGTCACCTAAAAATCATCACTTAAGTTACACCCACGCACATAACTCCCCCCCAATAAAAAAAATTTGAGGCCTCCTCACCCCAACATATTGTCACATACGAACATAAACACACACACGTCAGGACCTCTACACACACGACGATTGCGATACACATGTTAAATATCGCCGTGCATGCCGGAGTGAGAGCAATAATTTTAGTGCAAAATCTCCTCTGTAACACTAAACTGATGACCTATAGGGACTTTTGAAGCATTGCCTATAGAAAATATAGGGTACTGAAATTTGCACACAAATTTTAAGGTTTGTCATGTTGGGTGTCTATTTACTCGGCACAACCTCACCTTTCTATTTTACTAAAAATGTGGGTAATTTATTGCATTTGTTTGTCCTACAATTCACTTTCGTGAGTTTTTTACTGACATTTTGCATTTCCTAGACCTTTGCTATAATATCATGTGACATAAAAAATTGTAACTACCACTATTTTATTCTCTAGAGTGTTTCAGAAAATATATAATGTTTTGGGGGTCTGTGTAATCTTCAATCCTGAAATACGGCTCTGGCAGCGAAAGGGTTAAACAATAAGCAGTTATGAAATGTTACAATGGTATTAAATTAAAAACTTCTTTCCAGGTAGGTGCTAATTTTTCACTGTCCTAGAAAATATGTAAAAGTGTACCTGGTTGGGAACAACCTCCAAAACAAAATGGTGATACAGAAGGGTAAATGAAATATAAATGAGATTGAGTATAATACCATCTGATAAATAATTTTACAGCTGTTTCACGTATTGTTATAGATCTGGTACATTGACAGAGATTAAACCACCTAGAATCCCATTCCTGAGTAGAAAATTGTAAACTTAATTCAGTTTCCCAACATAACATATAGGGTAAACTTTATGCTGAATGAGTTGAAATTATTGTATAAAAGTGAAATAAGAGTTTTGTAGTGAAATAGGGGTTTGATGACATATGTGCTCAAATGTGGTTATGGGAATATTTTGAGGTACATTGTGTGTTATAAAAAAATGTTTTATGTGTAAATAATTTTGATATTCTGAGATAGGAGCTAATTTAAGTTCTTGATAGTATTCAAATAAATAAATGAAGAATGTTTATAGAAATCTGTTACTTGGGTCAATTTATTGTCTATCCACCATTGGAAATTTTGTGGAGAGGGAAAAAAAGGATTTCAATCTGGAATCTCCCAGGAAAGTAGCACCTAGTGGGGTGATATATATCAAAGTCCCATCTTTGTTTAATTTGTTGCATAACTTTAAAGAATGGGATACTATCACAACAATAATAAGGAATAATAGAATATTAAGCCGGCATGTGATTCAGCGTCTAGAAAAATTACCATATCAGGTTTGGGTGTTGACCTTTAGAAAAATGTAAAAGGTGTGGCTGAAAATAATTACATTTGTGTGTGTATTCTGTCCAGTTCGACGCCTATACATTGTGTTTTAGATACCATATTGCAGCCAAGCCATGTTCCTTTATTCTGCATCTTCTCACATCACAGCTCTTCAGTCATATTTTCTGCAGGTTTATGTGTATAGGATTAGCTTTTAATACATTTAGGGACAACAAATAACCTTATAACATTTGCCTTTTCTGAACTTGTTCTTTGACCGCTATCTTCAAAAGTCCAGACCAGTGTAAACATTGTATTGTTTACATTCAGCCTGCACGCAGTCTGCACTGTACAGTGCACAGAGCAGTATGACTGTAGACTGGGATATAAAGCAGGAAGGAATCGGTAATAGTTACAGATGTGGATTCTGCTTTTTGTAATTGGCTGATTGAAATCACATAGGATAGGGAATTAAGCACTGGTCAGTTAAATTTATGCAATGGTTTTCTTTAGCCATCAATTTTGTAATCCATTTCCCCCCATAATTGTATTGGTGATGTAAAGCTTTTAATCATCCTGTTTGTTTTCTGGCATTGCAGATGTAGTGCTACCCCCTGAAGGAGCCGCTGGTTAAGATTGGTCCTTTGCTTTCCGCCACAACCTTTCAAAGGCCACAGTCCTACTGACACACTAGGCTACTGGATAAAGGAGTAAACACACAGATTCCTTAGCACCCTGTATTCTGGCTATCTTAAGTGAAGAAAAAAACAGAACCATGGATAAAAGTGAACTTATTGGTTATTATTTGAAAATATGGTTAATAGAAAAATACAAGCCAAAGCAAGTATGTTTACACAATTCAGCTCACTGGGGAGTGAAGAGGAAGAGAAAAATCAGAAGAGGAAAAGGGTGGGCATATATGGCATATAGTCCCAAATCAGCAGAATCCTATTTAACAATGTCAGGACTATATAGCCCACATGTACTGATGGTGGCTGTGTTAGGCCTAGACTGGTTGGAAAAACATGATCAGCATAAAACAAAGGGGTTTGTATTTTAGCAGGGGCAGTCTCTATGATGGATCTTCAACTGGTTAACATTGGGGCCCTGAAAAATGACCGTTGGTGGCACTAAAGGTGGTCTTTATATCCTGTAGGCAGGAAAGATTCAGTTTTAACCAGACAGTGCAAGTGTTCATTAGCCAGGGGTGCATGGTAAACTGTAATATGACTGCACCCTGTGATGACAGTGCTATGAGGTGAAATCAGGTAATAGAAAGCTCAACTGAAAGGAATTGAATAAAAGGGAGAGTGATCTGTATTCTGTCCTCAGTGGTATGTCCGGTGGCCTGCTCACAAACTCTTTGTGAGGCTGTAAAGTCTTGTGGTGGAAGGGCCCCCCCTTTTTGAGCTGGTTCCAAAGTGGCAGTGACTTGATTGACAAGTTAGCTGATCTAAAGTATACACAGGTTTCTTGGCTAAAGACGAAGTGGCGGGTCCAGTGAAGGCAGTAATCTCATGGCAGCAGCCTCAATCTGTGAACTGCACGAATAGTGATTCTGACAGCAGCAACTTAGGTCTACTTCCAGACTTTCTTGTGTGGCTCATTCCAACAGGTCTGGTCAGATCCCCATGGATCTGACTAGATTCTTTGCCCAGGGCTCTTCCTGGGCAAAGAATCTAAAGCCCTCTTGACCCTTCCCACCGCACACAGACCGAATGGATTTGTAATTTAGGAAGACAGTCATCTCCTTAATATGACTGCCATCTGAAACTACATCTCCCAGAATTCCAGGCGATCTGTACTAAAGTCTTTAGGTTTGAAGCAGCTAGCCTCTCCCTTTGCTGGCTGGAGGAGAAAAGTGCAACAGCACAACCACTCAGCAGGCAGCAATACAGATGCATTTTGGAACAAGGTCTTTGTCTTACCCACTGTAGTCCGGTACCTGCTTATACAGATTTTTAAACAAGCACATTAAGGCTCCATGTACACAAGCCTACCCTGATGGCCGGCCACGGGAAAACGCAAACGCGCAACCATGGTACCACAGTTTTTACGGTTTCCAAAGGCCGGCGGTCAAAGCGTTCCTATCATGAACGTGATTCTCCTGCTTTCAGGAGAGGGATGTTTAACCTCACCTAACCGCGGCAGCTCCTAAACTCTGCTAAAAGCCTATGTGTACATGGACACATAGGCTTTTATAGCATTGAGTTTAGGAGCTTTGGCAAAAAAATGCCAAAAGCTCTTAAACTCGAGTTTTAGAGCTGCTCATGTACATGAACCCTAAAAGAGAACATGCCTTATTTGTTTCCCTTGATCCTGATATGTGGTCATGTTGCTATCTTCAGTGTATAGAGCAGACAGGCAGAATGCAAACAATTTGTTTACACTGGGCAGGTGCCTGTGATGACAGGTCTCAAAAGTAACAAGTAATAAAGTCATTTAAAGATGAGATATATTGCATTTATCCTTCAAGTACAGTGCATAATTATCAAAGAATGTATTACTTACACAACCCAAGAAGGCACAGCCAGTTCCAAGGCTTACAGCTGTTGGGACAATACTAAATCTTCTTGCCTGGACATAGAAGGTAGAAGGTCATCCAACAGCAAATACTAAACCAATGCAGTGAGATATGTGCTCTTTGAAAGCCAACCTCTCCTGTCACTGATATCTCGAATCGGATCCCGTAGAGTTTTAGGAGGTCTCTGTGTTCACGCCTTTCTTTGTCCCAATAATAAGTAGCTGTTCTGCAAATAAAGGAAAAATTAAAGTGTCTCATAAAATTCTCAATATTGTGCTGTAATCAGTGAAGAAATATTTGTAAAATATTATTGGCCTTTACATCGAAAACCATTTCCACACAATTTTTTTTTGTATACTTAGTTTGGTGGTTAAATGTTAACTGTTTTGTCAACCCTTTTGTTTTGGATAGAATGGGGAAGCGTTCTTTTGTTAAGGTTTTACTACTGTCTGTAGCTCTATTAGTAAGATTTCACCTTGCCTTTTTTCCCAGTAGCACCACAGAAAAATTTAAATGGGGTCACTGTGATGGGAATACAAGGGTAGTAATAAAAAAAAATCTCCTTTATAGAAAGGAGTCCCTATCATTTCTTGTCCCTTTGACAGCCTGCAACAGGAAGAGGACTAAACTCAAACTGTCCACAGTGTACCAAAGACAGCAATAAACACCGAACAATAAGTATAACCCTTCTCTCCTTCATCCTACCAAAAAACTTTGGGTTGACTTGAGCTTTAAATTATAACTTCAGTTGAATTATTTTGGGGGAATGGTGAGGACCTTGGTTAGGTTTGTAAACCCACTGGAGACATTTCACAGGAAGAAAGGGAAACTCCCCTATGGGGACACAGTAGCAACTATTCAAGACGGAGATTCTAAACTAAACTACTATTAAGTGTTTTTATTCGTGTCTGTGTCACTGCTAGAGAGATTCTTTATTGTCTGTACTACACAATAGAAATTGAGGGAATCATGGGCAAGTGAGAGATATCTTCCACCAAGAAGAAATGAAATATAGAACACTTTCCCATTCTATCTAAAATAAAAAAAAAAAAACTAATTCTAATCCTAATTTAAATATATTTTATGTGTCAAATGCAGCAAATATAAAATGAGCAACCATATATGAAACTTACCTGAAGTTGTTGTTTTTATCTTGCAATCCAAAAGAGTATTGTGGTGTGCAGACTTTTGCTTGATCCAAATTGCATTTCCACTCAATATCAATTCTAACAACTCCACCCTGAAGTAATAAAAGTAAATCATGCTGTTAAACCACACAAATGTACCTACGTGATAAAAATTGCTAGTGTTTATTTTCTAATTGGCAGCTTTGAAAGGGAAATCTAGACAGGATCTTAAATTCATCAATATATGGTGCTAATATTTATTAATTGGTGTTAATTGGAGTGTGTGTGTGTGGGGGGGGGGGGGGGTATGTTAGACTATCAGAGACCAAGGTGTCTGCATTGTGTTTAAGAGCAGCGGTCCATCTTTTCACTGTGCTGCCAGGATACTTTATCCCTTGCTGCAGCACAAAATACCCAATACCTAAGAAAAAAAGAAGACCCAAGAACAGTATTTACCTTTCTGACCATTCTCAGTCATAGTACTTGTCTGCATCTTAATTACAGATAAGTTTCAAAAAGAAGAGAAAACATACCAGAAGAGACAGTTCTTCAAATCTATTTTTGGTTTTTGTTATGATATTCTTGATTGTGAAAACTGGACAGTACGGATTGGAGACTAGATCATATCTGCAGCTCTTAAAATAAGTATCATCAGATGTCTTCAGTGTGTTAGCCCTTTTGAAAAACAGAAAGAATGACTTGTACATTTCAATCTGAATGGTCTGATTACTAAAAAAGTCAAGGCAAGGTACTTATGTGTCACATAACAGAACAGCCTTTCTCAACCTTTTTATCCCTAGGGGAACCTTAAATAAATAATTTTCAGGTTTCAGAGGAACCTTAACTAAAATCAGTTAATCAGAGCTCAATGGGAAAAATGTCCTTCACAGTGCCTGTCAGTAGGAATAATGTAACCATTTCAGTGGTTAGAATGCGACTCTTACAATTAAAAAGATAATTGAGACATGTTGCTTGTTTTGCCATATAATGTTGGCACTAAAACTATGCAAGTAGTATCTGGTGAGTCAATCAGCTACAGGCCAAGGAGCCGCTGGCAACCTCTGAAGGAACCCTAGGGTACCACAGAACCCTGGTTGAGAAGGGCTGCAATAGACATTTGTGACAAACTATTTTTAAAATGTAAACAACTTGCTAGAATTTATAAGAAAGTCAAGGAATTATTCTATATGAAATGATTGTGGGAAATGCAATATGTCATAACAGTTTAAAACAAGTTTACAGCTGCATGGCTTTGAAAATTAATTTGTCTATTTTTTTATTAAAAATATAATTTTGATTAACATTCACACACCTATTTAAGAATGTAATAATTCTACAAGCCCTGTTTGTTTCAGAATATACACTCACCAACCTCTTTATTAGGTACACCTGTTCAACTGGAAGAAGGGTCAGCCACACACCGGAGGATAGATGAATATAGTGTGTATTTATTAATCCATAGGACACACAAAACACCATAGTTATGATTAAGCACAAGATCGTGTGAAACGTGTTAACAGGTCCTGTATTCATGTCCTTGTGTTTTGTGTGTCCTATGGATTAATAAATACACACTATATATTAATCTATCCTCCAGTGTGCGGCTGACCCTTCTTCCTGTTGCATTGTGTGTGGTGCAGAGCCTGCACCTGTTGTGGATTGATCTGGATTGTTAGCCTGAGCATTTTATTCCTTGGATTCACCTGTTCAATTGCTTGGTAACACTAATTGTTAGTCAGTCATGGCAGCAACTCAATGCATTTAGGTATCTAGAGATGGTGAAAATGACTTGGTGAAGTTCAATCTGAGCATCAGAATGGGGAAGAAAGGGAATTTAAGTGGCTTTGAATGTGGCATGGTTGTTGGTGCCAGATGGGCTGGTCTGAGTAATTAAAAAACTGCTGATCATCTGGGATTTTCACACCCAAACATCTCTAGGGTTTACAGAGAATGGTCCGAAAAAGATAAATATCCAGTGAATGGCATTTGTGTGGATGAAAATGCCTTGTTGATGTCAGAGGTCAGAGGAGAATGGGCAGACTGGTTCACGAAGATAGAAAGGCAACAGTAACTCATGTCAATATGGACCAATATCTCTGAGGAATGTTTCCAACACCTTGTTGAATCTATGGCACAAAGAATTAAGGCAGCTCTGAAGCAAAAGTAGGTCCAACCCGATACTAGCAAGGTGTACCTAATAAAGTGGCTGGTGAGTGTATATGCTTATGTATTTAGTTATGTCTGTCATGTACAGAGAATAACTTAAAAAAATGTTCCAGCCATCTCTGTTGCAAATGAATGTAGAATATGACAGTAAAGGTGTTAAAAGATCATAACTAGAATACATAGATTATATACATATGTATAAGTACTGCAGGTATATGATGCAGCGAAGATCACGTTGCATTATTACCTAATTTAGGAGCCCTCAAGGTCCCAGAGATTATTCTATAATGTTGTTTAGTGGGAATGAATAATGTACCAGTTTTTCATGAGTGCAGAAGGGCACTATTGAGTTAAAATATGAGTTGCTCAACTGCATTTGGAAACAGTCCAGAATTTATCACACCTGACTTATGCTGGTAGTTAAGTGGCCTTCAAGTCTATTTTTTTTTTTCATAAAATAGATACAAATAACATTGCCTACACAGATTATTTTTGTTCAATAAATTTCCCCCTCTGTGTTTACTTTTTAAGTTGTCCTGAAGCCGTTCTGATACCCTTCCCATTCTATGCCTGCCCACTGTACTTCCAGAACCAACAGGTTTCCTTACGAGTCTCCTGTACGTGCCCACTCCCACCTTGTACTACAACCCTACATGCAGCCACTAAGAGCGCCACAGCTCGAGAGGGACACACAACAAAAGCAATGAATCTCCTTTTTGACAGCAGCTTTTATTGTATGTAATATAACTACACTTTCATATGTATTACACCAACACCTGAGAAGCAGGGGCTGGGCAAATCTTGTTCAGAGCTTACTTTGGATTGAATAAGTGTGGACTTCATAGCATATTGCAATGTGAAAATATTTAAAATGGGGCCAGGTGGGCCTTTTCAAGGCTATCTACACATCTACTGAAAATATTTTCCAGAATCACTTACCCTGAAAATCGAAATTTTCTAAAATAAACTGAATTTTTTTATTAACAGTGTAAAGTTTTCTGCTTCATTTAAAGGTATTTTCCTGGATGAAAAAAAGAAATATTAAACATGCTCAGATAAACATATGTTTTTAATTTGCAGCATGGAGAAAATAGACAGTAAAATATATGCCTATTCTTTCTTTTTCTACTCAAAGCTATTAAAAAAAAAAATTGTTGATTTTAAACTGTTTTTAGAAAAATATGGACATTTTTTTTAGGATTAGGAACAATGTTCAACTTAAAGTGTTACTTCACTTTTGTTGAGAAAAAATACAATCCACTCTAGGTGATTAATGTAAATTTCAAGGATTTTAACAAACTTTGTAGCAGATTCCTGCTTGTTTTCTGTTCTTAAAGCGGAGTTCCACCCATAAGGGGAAGTTCCGCTTTAAAGACTGGTCCCCCGCTCTCCATTATGGATTGGCACTTTTGGGGGGCAGTGGAGGGGGAGTGGGTACCCGAATTTGACAGGTACCCGCTCCCACTTCCGCTCCGCTCCGGTCGCCTAGGTGATCGGATGTGGAAGGTGTCCTCCCTTCCTCCCTCCCCGTAGTCTTTTGGGACACGTGACAGGTCCCAGAAGACTACAGGACCATTCATGAAGCTCAGTGTTACTCGCGCATGTGCAGTGGGTACCGGCTGCGAAGCTGCAAGCTCTCACAGCCGAGTGCCCACACTGAAGATGCCGGCGCCCAGGGAGAGAAGACGGCTGGTAAAACGGGCTGCAGGGGACACACCGCGGGGACCAAGGGACAGGTGAGTGTGTGCTTTTTTAAAAGTCAGCAGCTACAGTTTTTATAGCTGCTGACTTTTATTTTTTGAAAGTGTGAGTGGAACTCCGCTTTAATAAAAAGCTGTTTGTTCCTTCCTAAATGGAAGGGTCTGTGTTCAATATAGCCACCTAGTGCACTTTCAGTGTTCGAAAAAATGTTTATCAAAGACGTAGCAGAATACATTTTGGCCTAAATTTATGACGAGATTTGATTTTTTAAATTTTTTTACTGGACATATTTAATAGCAAACAGTCAAAAATATTGTTTTTTTCTCAAAATCTTTTTCTCAAATACTACCAACAAAAAGCTCAATTCGTGGGAAAAAAGGACGTAAATTTAATTTGGGTGCAGTGTTGCATAACCGTGCAATTTTCAGTTAAAGTAATGCAACACCGTATGGCATGGTCAGGAAGGGGGGTAAATTCTCAGGAGGGCAAGTGGTAAAATACTACTGCATATTGACCAACAGAAATGGTATGAAAACTGATTTACTGTACACAATGATCACAAAACTATACAGAGATTCACATCAAGTCAACAACAGATATAGATACAGTATAGAAAAATGATATTGTATATAATAGATGCATTGTTAAATGTTAGTTTTCAGCATGCAGCATGAAAAAAATGTATAACATAATGATGATTAGCCCGGCATCCCTTCAGTTCTGAACGCCTGGTGAGATGGAAGATTCGGTGATCATGTTATCACTGTCACTGGCTGTTGATTTTTAGTCCAGACCAAGAGCTGTCTTTGACAGCTTGGTCTCTGTGCTGGGAGTGCACCATCACCATGCTCTCCACACATAAACATTGGCCGCCCTGCGACACAATATGCACTAGGCATTGTAAAGGCGTTAAAGGAAACCAGTACTATAGTCTGACATTGCTGACTTCTCTACTAGTCACCTGGCTGTTGTACTAATCCAATAACTGTCCCAAAACAAGTATGCAGATTTTAGGTTTTGGCTTCACTCTAACTTTACAATGTACAAAGTACACATGTAGGACTACCCCCTTAGGGATTGCTGATGAATTTGGGTCCCCCTATAGTCCTGCACAGCCAGTCATTCAGTATTTTCCACACAAGCTCTCATCCATAGACAGAAATCAGGCATTGAGTGTTGGTTTTGTTATTTTATTGAGGGAATTAGAACTTGGATAGGGTAAGGGGTGTATAGGATGCCCAAAGGATCCAAAATCTGAGGACAACGTCCTGAGCTTTTCACGGCTTCTTTTCTCTGACACAGACTCTGTTGGAGTGTTAGCCAGCAGTTCCAGTTGTACCACCCCAGACCCTAGATGAACTCCTCTTCACCCAGCAATCTGGAGACTTTCTTCCCGAGCAGGGGATCTGGCTCCTGTTCCTTTAAGTAAAATATACAGTCACTAGCAGAGGGCTACACTGGTTTCCCATCAGAGTGCTCCTTCCCCTATCCGCCCAGGGGGAGCAGGTGTACTCATTCAGATCCTCTCCTGTACTGCTTGCGGAATGGCTGCTGCTACCACTTCTATCAGCTGGGCTGCTCCTTCACTGCCACACAGGTGGTCCTCTCTCAGAGGGAATGTGCATCCTGAGTTTTCATCCTTTCCAGCTCCAGGCTCGCAGGCAGGCCCCATCTCACCAGGCCTCCTTGCAGCCTTCCATCTCCAGCCTCACATCTTTCTGCTCCACACTCCTCTCCCACCACACTACTCTCCTCCTACTGAGCAGGCTCCAACACTTTTTAAGGGAGTCCAGCCCCTTGCCAAGCCTCCTTTTGGGGATTGGCTGAGGTTCCACAAAAG